CTACGGCCCCAGCGCCCGCCCCTGCTTCCGCTGCGGACCAGAGCAACGCCGACAGCCGCACCTTCATGTGCATGATAACGGACTCGTGCTGGGACGACGACCCGAAGCCGCAGAAGCCCCCGAGGCCCCCGAGGCCCCCGAAGCCACCGAGGCCACCGAGGCCGCCTCCCAGGCCCCCACCCACCCCGCGGCCTCCAGCGCCCCCATCCGCGCGGCCGCCCTGCCCAGGGTGTCAGCAGCCGCCCTGCCCAGGGTGTCAGCAGCCGCCCTGCCCAGGGTGTCAGCAGCCAACGTGTTCGGGATGCAGCGCGGGGAACGCAGGGCCCCCGATCATCATCATCAACAACAACAACCAAAACAACCAAAACAACAACAACAAGCAAGGTGACACGGGCAACTCAAACAATCCACCGACATCGTGTGGACGTCCGCCGTGCCCCGTGGTGACTGGATCAGCACACGGTCGTCCGCCTGGATCCGGCGGTGCCGGAGCTGGCGCAGAAGGAAGTGCCTTGTTTCATCCTGGACCTGGACAGGGCGGTGCTGGGTTCGGCGCGGGATACGTTCCGGGATCTAATCCGGGGGCGAATTATGGACCTGCCGCCGGATACGTTCCGGGGTCTGTTCAAGAGGCGAATTACGGACCCGGCTCTGGATATATTCCGATGTCTAATCAAGGGACGAGTTATGGATATGGTGCGGGGTATGGTCCAGGGTACGGGGCAGGATTTGCACCGGGAGCGAATCAGGGGCCTGGAGCCGGGTACATGCCGGGGGCTTATCCAGGTGCAAATTACGGATCGGGTGCTGGATACGTTGCGGGTCCTGGTCCAGGTGCAACTCATGGGTCCGGCGGCGGATACTTTGCCGGATACGGTGCGAATAGTGGAGCGGGTTACGGATCTGGTATGGGGTACGCTGCGGATTCAGGCTTCGCACATCCTGCCGGATCTGGCGTTGGATATGGGCCGGGTCCTGGTGCAGGTCCTAACTCTGGGTACAATCCGGGTGTTGGCGGTGGTTTCATGGGTGGTGGACAGTTCTCCGGGACGGGCTACGGCGGAGCGCCCGACACAGCGCCAGGCTCATGCCACGTATGTGCTCAGCGCGCTGGCCGGGCGCCGGGTCCCCTCAGTAGAAGTGATTCGGCTGGTTCTCAAGACTCCATCTCTTCCAGCTCAGATCCAGGACAGGGAGAACACCCTCCCCCAGAAGCCAGGGCCCCGCTCGCGGAAACTGAACCCCACATTGTTCCTGGATCCACCCCTGCCCCATATCCGGGTGCTGCCGCGCACTACGACCCGGCATCTCATGCGGATTCAGAATCCTACCTCGCCCATGTCGGCTCCGGTTCTGACCCTGACCACCATCAAGGAATTATTTCAGGCCCCATTCTCGCCCCTGCCCCTCAGCCGGACACGGCTGCCTACCCCTACCCCCCATCCCCTCTAGGATTCAATCGAGACCCTGCTCCAGCCTCTCACTTTGGAATATTTTCTGGTTCGGCCCCAGCCACTTCCGTAGGCGATTTCCAAAATCCTCCTTTTGCTCCCAATCCAGCCAGTGCACTCGGCCACGCCTCTGCACCCCAACAAGACATTGTTTTAGACTCTGCCGCTGTCCTAAATCAGGATGCAATATCGAGTCCCGCTCCTGCACTCCACCACGGCGTCAGTCCGGTCCCCGCTGTACACCCTGACTCCCACCAGGGCACCGCCCCCAGTCCAGAGGGTGCGCCGCGCCCTGTCCCTTCGTCCCATAAGGGCGTCATTCCAGGTGTCACCACTGCCCCTCCACGCCCCGTCGCTGCGACCCAGAGGGCCTTTATTCAAGGTGCAGTCCACGGCCCCCTCCCGGGCGTTGGTCCAGGCCCTGCCCGTCCTCTCGCTCTGGATGCTGTGCAGCATCGTGCACCACCCCGTCAGCCAGACGTTGTACCACACCCTAGCCATGTCCCCGTCCAGCCTCCCTGGCCTTTTCCAGAATCCAGCCAGCCGCACTCGGGGTCGGTCCCCGGTCTTACTCAGGGGTCCGGCCGACCCGTTCCAACCGACCATACATCCGTCACCAGGCATACCTCTGGCCCTAATCTGCACTCGAGGCGGATAAAAGGTTAAGCCGCATGTCTTTTGCCGAAAAAAGTAAAAGGTTTTGCGCATTGTACAGCCCAAATGACACAAAATTAAATTGGCGTTCCTATTTTATTATAATTAATATTATGTAAGATTACAGGGCAGTTACTCGCACAAAATCTACGAGCAACGCTGAATCTGTGCTCCACGATCCGTACCAATCCGCCTGTGCATTCCAAAAGCTGAGCATAGCCTGCAAATGTAACAATGTATTCCATTAACACATGGGTTGTTTGTAAGAAAATCATTTGTAAGCGTGGAGTCACCTACTTTAGCTGCAGTGTTCTTCCATGGTTTTTTATTCCGGTTTGGCCCTATTACACCTTCAGGGAAAGTGTGAATACCGCCAACAGCTAAACCTAGACTGATGTAGAACTGAAAAAAATAGAAAATAAACAGAAGATGACAATGATGATAGAATGGTGATTGCTTCGTCTCTTGAGGGGACCTGTCGAAAAAGTGATAACCAACTTACTTCTCTGTCAAAAGGGGCCATCTTGCCACCATAATGCCAAGGATCGTCGGCAGATGTCCTGAAGACCCCTCCCGTCTCCTCTAGCAACACGACCCCGAGCTCGACTCCGTCCACGGAGAAAATCATTTCTTCTGCAAAAAGCATTGGCGTTGCAGACCAATCAATGGTCCTCTCAATGAGATGTGTTCAAAGACCAATAGAGAGTTAACTTGAAGAGAATGTATGGAGGCTCACCAGGAGTCCATGTGAGTGTGTAGTTGTGAAAGCCGCCGCTCCACGGCCGCCCGGGCAGCTCCGTCCTGCTCACTTCCTTCCGCAGGGGGCCCCTGTATCCGGCCAGCGACCGGACGTACCGTGGACTCCAGCCGCCCTGCTGCGCCGCGTCGCCGTCGCCCCAATCCCGGTACGGCGCGCTGGTCGGGGGCGTCGGCGTGTGCTGGTAGCCCGTGGGCCCGCCACCCTTTGGGGCGCTGGTTCCGGTTTCACGCGCTGGGCTGCTCGTGGTGGCTTTACTTCCGGCCTGAGGCTTGTGCCCCTGCGTGGCGACGCCCCTGGCAGCGGCCGTGGTCGGGGAGGGCTTCCTGGTGGGCGCGCTCGTCGGGCGCGCGGTGGTCGCCCTCGGGCGCGCGGTGCTCGCGCTGGTCCTCGAGGGCACGGTCGGGGCGGGCCGCGTTGGCGCGGCGGCAGGCTTGGCGGGCGTGGCGGCGCCCCTGCTGACCACGGCGGGCACCGGGGCGGCGCTGATGCTCCGCGCCGTGCTCGTGGTGGCCCGGTGCGTCGTGGTGGTCCTGTGGGTCGTGGTGCTGGTCGTGGTGCTGGTCGTGGTGGTGCTCGTCGTGGGCGGCGGCGCTCTCGCCTCAGTGGCTGGTCTGGCGGGGGCCTGGCCCTCGTCGGCGAACCTCGTCGGCTGGTCCAGCCCGTGGAAGGGCACCGCCGCCTCGAGTCGCTCTTCCTCCTCGGCCTCCTGCTCCTGCTCGCCCTGCTCGTGGCCGGCGGGGCCCGGTGCCGCTGCGATGGCGGCCGCCTCCAGGCGCCGCAGGCCGAGCTCCGCGCCGCCGTGGTGCAGCTCCAGGTTGCCGCGCGCCAGGGCCAGCTGGACGCGCCCCGACTTGAGGCCCGTCCCGTAGGCCTCCTCGCGCGGCAGCAGCCACAGCTCTACGCACAGAACAATGTACAATTGGGGTAATTATAATTGAGGAAAAATAAAAATTTACAGTGACTTAAAGAAAAGGACGACTTAAGTTTCGTTACATCCTGAAGATCAAGTAATCGGAAATAGTACACAGAGAAAAAATATTTTTTAAAACCCCTTTTCAGGAGCAGCAGGGCAGGACAAGGTACAAGGTCATGGTACACATACTGACCGGCTGATGGTCAAAAGGTACGCCCGATTATCTTAGATTCATTCGTGAAATGACTTTAGAGGACCTCGACGCCTGTGATACTCGGGGTAGGCCACCCTGCATTACACGCATACACTGCATGAATTATGTGGCCTACCTACCAGGTGCTCTAAGAACTTGAAGAGGCTGAGCGTGGCAGGATCGTTATAGGACAATTGGCGACGGGCGCAGAAACTACGTTCGCTTTTCTTAGAAACGTTCGGCAGATAACAGAAGCTTTGGCGCCTGCGAAATTCAGGGTAGGCCACCCAGCAATGCACGCATGCATTGCTGACGATAAGTTGCCTACCTATCAGGCGCTACGAGAGCTTGCATCGAACTGTATAGTTTCGTCAAGGCAAAGGGAAGACCTCCTTCCTAAGGAAACGAAGTGCAGGGAAGGTGGGCGAGTGAGTGAGTGAGTGAGTGAGTGAGTGAGTGAGTGAGTGAGTGAGTGAGTGAGTGAG